GTTGTAACGGTCAGGACCTGATGCTTCTTGTTGTTAGAGGAGCAAGTGAGTCTAGTGTGGATGAAATCAAACTGTTGTAGACAGTAGTGGCCAGGTGAGGGCAGGACAGGGGAGAGATTCTGGCATAGAGTTGGTCAGTTGCAGAGTGGAAAGGAGCAGGGTTCAAGTTGTGAAGGTTTCTGCGGGTAATTGCTGCTTGGAGGGATAAGTGTTTGAAGATGAGGACACTGTGAAGGCGATGAGATTGTGATCAGAGAGAGGAAATGGTGTGTTTGTGAGGTTGTAGGGAGTGCAAAGATGGGAGAAAACAAGGTCTAATGTATTCCCATCAGAGTGAGTGGAGGACTGTATACATTGTGCTAATGCAAAAGATGAGGTTAGGTTGAAGAGTTGGGATGTAGCTGGGTTGTTGACATTAATGGGGATATTAAAATCTCCGAGAATGATAGTGGGTAGTTCAGAGGAGAGAAAGTAGGGTAGCCAGATGGAGAAATCATCAAGAAAGCGGGACACGGGTCCAGGAGGTCGATAGATCACTGCAATCCAAAGAGAAATGGGAGAAAACAGCTGGATGCAGTGAGTCTCGAAAGAAGAGAAGAATAGATAGGGAGGGTTAGGGAGGACTTGAAAAGTGCTGAGTGGGGATAGAAGCAAACCAACACCTCCTCCTTTCCGACCACAGGGTCAGGGTGAGTGGGTCCAGAGAATTATGATTTGATCCCACTGTAAAAAGAAAAGTCTTTGATGTAGAGTATCTTGATTTTGGTAAGTAACTCAGTACGATACTGCAGATGATATCCAGATGCCATAGGAGAAAGCAAAACCACACCAGTCCAAAAGTGTTTACTTTTACTGGCTCACAATATAAAATTCCTCCATAAAAGAAATATAAGGGCTGCCATTGATAGCCTCATTACAAAATAGCAATGTGCCTGCTTCTTTGTTGACCCTCTGGCCTTTCTAAGTCAGCTATATAGATAAGGAAAGTCAGACAGAAGTCAGAAGTACTGATCTGCATAATTGTTCCAGGTCAGTAACTTAAAGCATTAGAGCAAGTGGACCAGAATGACAGCCCAGCAACTAGCATTTTTAGAAATTCTGAAAGAAAATTAAGCTGACAAGTATACAATAAACCACCACATCCTACAAATTAATTACAATTATGCCTATACAACATGTACATGCAATGTACAGGTAATTTCTGATCGTGCAATATTCTTTAATTGGATCACCACCACAATTAACTTCCCAATATATTTTTCATTATATAGGTTTAACATGAAGTATGATAATAATCACAACTATGATAGATTTGTTGGTTTGCAACATAGTAAGGCTCCGTTCATACCAATGCGCTTTTTTTTTAGTGCTGTTTGCAGAAACGCACTGCAGTCCATTTAACATGGCTTTCTATGGAACATGTTCACATCTGTGTTTTTTTGAGCTGCTGCGTTTTTGGAAAGGGTCAGGGACTTTTCTAAAAGCAAAAAGCAGCATTTTTGCTACAGTACATTTCAATGGAGAGTCTGCTGAAATGCAGGTTAGTGCATTTTTGCTGTGTTTTTGGCACGTTTTGCATTTTTATTCTGCCCAACAATAAAAACATTTCACTTTAGAAAAAAAAAAGAGCTGAACAAAATGCAAAAACGCGGTAAAAACACATAAAAAAATGCATCAAAGCCGCGTGTAGAAAGACTCAAATCAAACTGCGAAAAGCACTGCAAAACGGCCAAAAAGGAAACTGCATATGTATGAACTGAGCCTAAGTGTCTGGTAGCAATGGTGTTATTATGATTGCACCTTTAATAAATAAAATATAGTTTGTACTTATTCAATATTAATGTTTAGTATGATTACACATTTCAGCAATGTACTCCTTTATTACATTTTTTTTGATAAAGTTAATATTATCATACAATGTACTTTGTGTTAAACCTTAATAATGAGATACATGGGAGATATATTTGTGATGGTGTTTAAACTAAGGAATACTTGCATTGTAAACAAATACCTGTACATTGCTCATATATGCATTCTTTTACTTATTTGTAACATATATACAATACAAATTGTACTTTTAGCTACTTTTTTTAATTTGATTTTGATGGTACCTTAAACGTCCAAGAAATTCTTCCCTTTATGGTTTTGTTACCAGTGTTTTTTAGAGGAAGAGGTCCAATAATAGCAGCCTCAATGTTTCTCTCATGAGAAGTTTCACTTTTTTACTGAATAAAGTATTGTGTCATGCATACTGACCATCAATCATAGGCATGCATCCAGTTTCATGTTTTGTTTTCAAATAACTATACAATTCTCTTTTGCGATATCTATGCATAGTTGGTATAATTGTTACTACACTGATTGTGTGCTCTGAAATATTAAAAGACATCTTAGAAATAATTGAAGTTAAACATTTTCTTTATTTCTGTACAAGAGATCAGAATACAGTTTGCAACACACTTTGCATAATATGCAATAAAGTTATGCTTCAACTAACAGTAATCTGGATCTGTCGTCTGCTCACACATAAAGTAGAGGTTCATAAACTGAATTATTATTATGTTCTACTAACTCATTAGGAAATAAGATGACAGTGCTGTGACCTGCAGCACCTATTTATCTCTTCATTAAAATGACAAAATGAAAAATTACCGTTGGCTGAAAATGTCAAGTGGGACAACTGGCTTTTTTCTTGATGTTAGTATCTAAAAACAGAGGCTCTCAGCATGTACACCCCAGGGGGTTACTTTTTCTACTGTAGTACTGTGACTTCATCAAACAGTTTAGCAAAATCACATAATCAGTTGTTTAGGTAAAAATCAATCAGAACTTTTTAAAGATATTTTAAAAATGTATAAACAGGTATTGGTAGTTGAACTGATAATAAATGTACCAAATTCAAGGGGTACCCAAGATTAGATTACCAACATAAAGGGATACTTAAAATGATTGTAAAGATTTGATTATTTTTCTTTCAGTAATAAACATGTTAAACTTACTTGCTCTGTGCAGTGGTTTTGCACAGAGCAGCCCCAATCCATCTCTTTTGGGGTCTCTTGCTGGTGCTGCTGGCTCTTCCTTCCTTCTGAGTGCCCCCATATCAAGCCACTTGCTGTGGTCACACTCGTGCAGGCTCAATTCCCGAGCCGGGTTGTCTATGTCTGCGTCTGCTGCTGCCACCATGCCCTGTAAGGAGGGAGAGAGAGAGCAGTGCCACTGCACTTGGCTACAGTGTTGAATCAGGATTAGGCTCAGGTATTTAGGGGTGCTGGGGGGAGCTGATCATAGAAGGTGTTTTACCTTTATGCAGAGGTGTATAAAAAACCTTCTGTCTTTACAACCACTTTAATAAACACTAGATTTTAAGAAAGAGTACATTTTGGATAGAGTAAGGGAGGGTTATAACGCCTGTCAGTTTTTTTTGCCATCTGTGTCCCATAGGGGAGATTTCTTTCACTTCTTGTCACATTACTAAAACAGGAAGTGAGAAGAAATCCTTCCAGTGAGGGGATTCCAGGGTGTCGCCATAACTAGTGTCCTCACTGGAAGATTTCTCTCTATTACCGTTTTTTGTGTCAACCCAAAATTTGGGATTTTCTTTTAATTTCATTTTTAATAATAAAAATATAGAGGGTGAATCTCACTAATGGGGGCACAGACAAAAATAAAAACTGACAAGTTATTCTAATCCCTCTCCACTGTAACCAAAAAAGAAAAAAAGGTTTGCCTTTAGCTATACTTGTCTGTGGATTAATTCTGTGGTAGCAGAAAATTATGGACTTTGTATACCATACCACAGAGACATCACAAGTGAATTAAATGGATGATTATTGGGTCGGTTTATGAAATGATTCCACAACTGTATGCAGGTAATAAGTCCCTTAAACAAGAAAAATGCCCTACATTGAACAAGTCTGCAAAGCTATAAAAGGGGAACAATATTATGTACATACAGCACATGTATATTAGGTATCAAGTATAACATTCTGGAGGATCCTCAATGTGACATCAACGTCAGAAGATCCCCATACCATAGCTGTGATTCATATTGTCCTGCAGACATCCCCATTCTAAATTTTCCATAAGAATACGTTGACCATAAACCATGCTCACTGTGGCTCTGTTGCTCATAAAAATAAGCATCATATGCATAAACATAAGCATTAAAAGTTACAGTTACAGAAGAGGGGAAGGGCAAAACTTGCCTCTCCCTGGGTATAGCTACATGCTAGTGTTGTCAGTTACAAGTTGGTGACTGGACCCACTAGAACGTACACAAAACATTAACATTGTTCGGTGGCCAATTTAGTTATTTACTACTGCAATTGATGTCATTTTAGTTGCATTTGGGTTGATGTCCTCGGTAGGATTTGTATTCTGAATACAATTCCAATTGTACTATTGGCCCCTAAACCCCCTTTACAGTCTCTTTTAACTTTCCATCCATTCCTTAAATAACCCACTCAGCTGCATAGTTTGAAAAGCAACTTTCAAATCATTGTCTCCAGTTATACATTTTGTCAGTTATGAAACCAAATATTGTTTACGAGTCAAATCCACTTACATATCACATGCAAAATCACCATATGCAAAATCATTAGTATTGTTCTGATATTCACGCATTGAATGTACAAATTGGAAAACAGTTGCTGGAAACAAAATGGAATAGCAGAAACTCTTCACGAAGGCTGAGCCCCAACCTAGGCTTTGGTGCCAGTGGATAGATTGTTCAGCAGCCCACATCTAGATTTGGCTACACACAGAAGTGATGTATCCCATTAAGTGTTGCTCTGTACTCTGCAATGACACAGGCAAGGAATACTCCTAGCAGCAGTTGTGAATCCAAAAAAAACCTTACAATTTCTGATTAAGAACCCACTCTACTGGTCTCAGTCACAGTGAATGCCTGCTTTCAAAACCTTAATTTCCCATCCCTTGCTGAGAAGTTCATTTTCAATGGATTTCTTCAGGTCTCTTGGAAGCATTTGAGCCATTCAGCATTAAAACAAAGCACTCTTCCTTCTTTGCTCGTTGATCCAGCTACCTGGACTGACATCCATCTGGAGCATTTTCATCACCCACTTGTCTTTGCGAGCACCATCTATAAACTCATCCAGAGATAGCTGGCCTGGGGAGAAAGTCATTAAAAAAATAATATATACCACAACAGCAAAACCAGAACAAAATTATATATGATGTGCAACAAATTTAAGGGCAGATGTATAAATATTTCTACAAAAAGGGCTATTGTCTATGGCAGGCAATAAACAAGTAGCAAATTACTAAAAACAACTGGTTGTGCAGAGCAACTCAACTTTTCAGTTTCCTAAATTAGGCCTTTTTCCTAAATATTGATCTGGTTTTATTGCTGTCTTTGTTTAAGTTGGAGTTTTTAACTCTTGCTAATTGTTCTATTGATCTTAGTCACTGGATTAGGAAGCAAGAGCAGATAAAAATTGTTAGAATTCTCAACAGAAAGTTAGGGAAAATCTCCGGTAATCTTTTTTTTCGGTGACAACTTCATTTTCTCTCATATTGTTTTGTGTGTTTGGGACAGGAAGCAAAGGAATATCTTTCAAATCGAGACACAAACAACAGTAAAATGTGTTTGGCTGGGGATTCACTTTAACACTACCCGTAGACTCCCATAATTAAACTTAGTGGCTCCTGAATTCTGCATTGATTTGTTAACTCCTAAGCTATACTGTCTTTTTGTCTGGAAACATTTACCACCTAAAGCAGGCCATAGATTAATTGATTTTCTTTCCTCCACAGGTTGATGGGGGAATCCCTCCCACAGCACTATTATATTCTCTCAGAAGGGGGCACAGGGTGCCTTCCCGGCCAGCAGAATACAATGATTATTGTAGCCGCTAGCAGGAATCGCATGCAGAAAAATCTGACAGGCTGGTTGTACCCAAGTCAATTGATGGATTGACTTGAGTACAATCAGCCTGCCCATACTTGAATCGAAATTCATCCGGTGCCTGCTGAACCAGCTGAATTTCAATCCATGTATGGCTGGCTTTACTATCACCAGATTTTCGTTAAATAATGTGAAAAGCAATTAACTAACCTATTATCTTATCCTATTTATTGTATGCAGACTGCAATATACAATATATTGCCAAAAGTATTGGGATGTCTGCCTTTACATGCACATGAACGTTAATGGCATCCCAGTCTTGGTCCGTAGGGTTTAATATTGAGTTGGCCCACCCTTTGCAGCTATAACAGCTTCAACTCTTCTGGGAAAGCTGTCCACAAGGTTTAGGAGTGTGTCTGTGGGAATGTTTGACCATTCTTCCAGAAGCGCATTTGTGAGGTCAGGCACTGATGTCAGACGAAAAGGACTGGCTCACAGTCTCTGCTCTAATTCATCCAAAGGTGTTCTATTGGGTTGAGGTCAGGACTCTGTGCAGGCCAGTCAAGTTCCTCCACCCCAAACTCATTTATCCATGGACCTTGCTTTGTGCACAGATGCGCAGTCATGTTGGAACAGGATGGGGCCATCCCCAAACTGCTCTCACAAAGTTGGGAGCATGAAATTGTCCAAAGCTCTTGGTATGCTGATGCCTTAAGACTTCCCTTCACTAGAACTAAGGGGCTAATCCCAACCCCTGAAAAACAACCCCACACCATAATCCTTACACTTGGCACAATGCAGTCAGGCAAGTACAGTACAGCAACTGCCAAACCCAGACATGTCCATCAAATTGCCAGACAGAGAAGCATGATTCATTACACCACTGCATCCAACGCTTTGCATAGCACTAGGTGATGTAAAGCTTGGCTGCAGCTGCTTGGCCATGAAAACCCATTCCATGAAGCTCTCTATACATTGTTGTGTTAATCCGAAGGCCACATGAAGTTTGGAGGTCTTGAGCAATTGACTATGTAGATAGTTGGCGACTTCTGCACACTGTGCGCTTCAGCATGCGCTGCCCTGCCCTGTCATTTTACGTGGCCTACCACATCGTGGCTGAGTTTCTGTTGTTCTCAGTTGCTTCCACTTTGTATAATACCACTAACAGTTAACCAAGGAATATTTAGTAGCAAGGAAATTTCATGAAAGGACTTATTGCCCAGGTGACAACCTATCATGGTACCATGAATTCACTGAGCTCCTGAGGGCAACCCATTCTTTCTAAAATGTTTGTAAAAGCAGTCTACATGCCTAGGTGCTTGATTTTATACACCTGTGACCATGGAGGTCATTGGAACACCTGAATCCAATGATTTTGATGGGTGCCCCAATACTTTTGGTAATATAGTGTAAGTTACAATGTAAGAATAGTATACCATCTCCATTCTCATCCACCAACTGGAATATCCGGTCTACCACTTCTTCTGGGGATAGTAGGGGAAATCGATCATCTTGACCTTGGCGGCAGACTTTCTTAAGGTTGTAGATGGACTGAAAACAAAAATAAGCTTGATTAGAGATGTCATATATTTTGTTAACTGAGCCCAGTGGGGTTGATTTAGTAAAGGTAAATAGAATGTTCGCTTTTCAAGGGAATTTACTTTGCAAAGAATACCCAGTCATGTGCAAGTAAGTTAAAAAAAAACCTTTATTTTGGTTTGCACGTGATTAGAGATGATGAAAGTCAGCAGAAATTCACCTAATTCATTAACCACTTGCCTACCAGGCACTTATACCCCCTTATTTACCAGGCCAATTTTCAGCTTTCAGCGCTGCCGCACTTTGATTGACAATTGCGCGGTCATGCAACATTGTACCCATATAAAATTTTGATCATTTTTTTCTCACAAATAGAGCTTTCTTTTGGTGGTATTTAATTGCCACTGGGCACTTTACTTTTTGCGCTATAAATAAAAAAAGTGAAAAAAAATTTGAAAAAAAAAGTTTCTTTGTTTCTATTATAAAATTTTTTCAAACAGGTATTTTTTCTCCTTCACTGATGTGCGCGTTGATGAAGCAGCACTGATGGGCACTGATAGGCGGCACTGATGGGCACTGATAGGCAGCACTAAAGGGCACTGATAGGCAGTACTAATGAGGTGGCACGGATAGGCGGCACTAATAGACAGCACTAATGAGGTGTCACGGATAGGCGGCACTAATATGCAGCACTGATAGGTGACACTGATGATGGGTACTGATAGACGGCACTGACTGGCATCACTGCTGTCCACTGACTGGCGGCACTGACTGGCACAACCCCTGGGCACTGACTGGTGGCACTGACTGGCAGCACTGCTGGGCTGCACTGATGGGTGGCACTGGTGGGCAGCACTGGTGGGTGGGCACTGGTGGGTGGCACTGGTGGGCACAGGTGGGTGGGCACAGGTGGGTGGCACTGCTGGGCACAGGTAGGTGGCACTTCTGGGCACAGGTGTGTGACACTGCAGAGTGGCACAGGTGGGTGCACTGCTGGGCACAGGTGGGTGCACTGCTGGGCACAGGTGGGTGATCTGCTGGGCACAGGTGGGCGGAGCTAGTGGGCACACTGCTGGGCACAGGTGGGCGGAACTTGCGGGTGGCACTGCTGGGCACCGATCATCAGGGCACTGATCATCAGTGCCCTGATGATCGGTGCCGATCCCCGCTCTGACAACTGCCAGTTCTCTGCAGTACTTTCCTCACGATCTGACAGCGTGAGGAAAGTGCAGCCAAGAACCGGCTCTTGCATTTCCCTCTGATCAGCGTGTCATTGGACACCGCTGATCACGTGGTAAAAGGCCGCTGTGATTGGCCTTTTACCACATCACGTGATCAGCTGTGTCCGTAGGACACAGCGATCACGGAGATCGCCGGGTGCGCGCCCCCTGGGGCGCGCAGGAGAGCGCGTTCTGGAAGGACGTCATATGACGTCCACTCAGAACTGGCCGGCCGCAGTGCAGCCGTCATTCGGCTATCTGCGGTCGGCAACTAGTTAAGCTAAGGCATAATTGCCTTGTAAAGTGAACAGCCTATTTGCCATTAAACATCAGTGATTATGAGGCAAACATTTTATTCAAGCTGGTATAAAGGCACAGTAATTGACAAAGTTGTATGTTGTGTTTAATGTTGGGATAGATGTTCAAGTCGAACATAAGTTCGACTCAAACATTGGCCATTCATGTGTTTGACGAACACATAAACAGTAAGGGAATTCGGTGTGCTGTTTGCCCGCCACACCCCACAATACACTGTACCCTGACAGTGCATTGTGATTGACCACAGGTCAGGTGCAATGCTTTGGTCAATCACAGCACATGATGACATCACAAGGGGGCAGGGTGAGCCCGCTCCTTTGTGACGTCATCACTGTATTTAAGAACTGTCATCGCGGCGCAGCTGTGAGAGTCAAAAGTGGTACGTTTTTGTTTTTTTTTTCGGGTCGGTGGTGGTGGCGGTCATCGTAATTGACATTGGAACTACTTCGGGGTACATTTTTAAATATTCGTTTTTAATAATGGACTTGTCAAAGACTGTCTACTATCATTTTTTACACTACACTTTTTTTTTGTGAATGGGTAGCGGTACCATGTACCCCATACTCATTCACATGGGGGGACAGGATCTGGAGGCTGCCTTGTTAAGGGGGGCTTCCAAATTTCGATAAGCCCCCTGCCTACAGACCCCCACAGCCACCAGCCACGGTTGTGGGGAAGAGGCCATTGTCCCCATTAACATGGGGACAAGGTGCTTGGGGGGGGGGGGGGCACCATGTTGAGGGCATGTGGCCTGGTATGATTCAGGAGGGGGGGCGCTCGCTTGTCTTGCCCCTTTCTTGACCTGCCAGGCTGCATGCTCAGATAAGGGTCTGGTATGGATTTTGAAGGGAACCCCCATACTAATTGTTTTTTATACAAAGCAGTGTGCTTACAGTGAAGCACAAACACACAGTGAACATAGTGAAACAGCACACAGCACACAGTAAACCCACAGTTAACCCTTTGATTGTCCCAGATGTTAACCCCTTCCTACCCAGTGCCATTAGTACAGTGTCATTGCTTGTTATTTGCACTGACCACTGTACTGGTGTCACTGGGGATGTCACTGACACCAAGTCAGTTCCCCTCAGTGTCAGAATGTCCGCTGCAGTCCTGCTATAAGTCGTTAATCGCCACCATTACTAGTAAGAAAAAAAAAGAGCAATACAAAGCAATGGGGTGACACTGTATATCCCACACACAGCACAGAGTAAAACAGCACACAGCACACAGTTAACCCTTTGATTGCCCTAGATGTTAACCCCTTCCTGCCTAGTGTCATTAGTACAGTATCAGCTCTTTTTATTAGGACTGATCACTGTGTTGGTGTACTGGGGATGTCAGCGACAGTTAATCAGTTCCCCCTCAGTGTCAGAATGCCCGCCGCAGTCCCACTATAAGTTGCTAATTGGCGCCATTACTAGTATAAAAAAAAATTCCAGTATCTATACCGCCATTTGGAGATGCTATAACTTTCACGTAAACTAATTAATTTACACGTATTGGGATTTTTTTTTGCAAAAACATGTGGCAGAATACGTTTTGGCCTAAATTTATGTCAAAATTAGATTTTTACATTTTTTTTACTGGACATGTTTAACCTCCCTGGCGGTATTCGGGAGTGTAGCTCGGGGTAAAATGTCTGTACCAAAAGCGGTACCCCGAGCCACACTCAGGCTTACCATGCGGCGCTGCTCTGGGGGTCCCTGCAGCACTTACCTTGTCCTGCGCTCCCGCGATGTGTCCCCTGCAGCATCCCCGGCCATCTCCTCCGGCCGATGCCAGCATCCGGCTCCTGTGTTCCGGTCCCTGTGACGTCGGGACGTACGGGCGGCGGGAAATTTGAAAATTTAAAAAAAAATTCATTTTTTTCAAAATGATTTTACATAGTAAAACATTGCTGTTTCAACCCATTTCACATACATTTTGTCCCTACTGCTTTGTCCTGTCCCCTGTCTGCATTTTGACTGTTCTTTCTGCCTGGAAACTTAGAAAAGTCCATGGCGTCCAAAAAGTGTCCCTTTAGGTCAAAAGCGGTTTTAGATCAGCTAGAGAACAGCGATAGTAAATCAGAACTACTTGCAGAATTGAGTGATAACGATTTGTGGGGAAATTTGTCATCAGACACTGAAAACGATTTTGCGACTTTGCTCAGCGATATGCGAACTTGGCGCTATATTTCAAATTTCAGTGTTTTTGGTTTGATTATATTATTAAATTAAATGTATTATTATCATATTATTATTTTTTATGATTATTTATTAAATTATAATTTATGATTTTGTGTTTCAAATTTTATCATACCCGGGATGTTTAATAGACTCTTGTTCGGACAGATTTCAGTGAGTTATTCCTAAAAATTACAGCCTACAATAAAAAAAACTACATATTTCCATGCAAAATAATGGTAATAAAAGTTAAAAATATTGTTTTTTTCTCAAAATTTTCGGTCTTTTTGTGTATAGTGCAAAAAATAAAAAAACGCAGAGATGATAAAACATGACTGAAAGAAAGCTCTATTTGTGGGAAAAAAAGGAAGTAAATTTAATTTGGGTGCAGCGTTGCATGACTGCGCAATTGTTAGTTACAGTAACGCAGCACCGTATCGCAAAAAATGGCCTGGTCAGGAAGGGGGGTAAATCCTCTGGAGGGCAAGTGGGTACATGCATTCGATCAGTGTGAAATTAGTGGACCCTGTATTTACAGCTTTCTGCACAAATGTTTACTTAGCTGCTTAAATGTGCCTGAAGTCCCTAAAGCTGCTGGGGTGCTCTGTTATGCAAATGCAAGATACTGTATTCAAGTTGGCACTTGGCCTACCTGCCACACCTCACTATTTATTCATAACTATGATTGGCAGCCTCAGTAGGAAGGAGAGAGGGGCAGAGTGCAGTGCCCCACAGGGTAGTTAAACAACTTAAGTCCTCATGCACAATTTAAAAACGCCAGTAACTTTAGCTGTGTAAAGTCACATTAAAAACGTGAGTTTTTCTGCATTTTCTAGCTTTTTTGCATTAGCGTTTAGCTGCATTTTTCCGTTTTTATGGGGGGGTTTTTTTCATTTTTTTTTTTTACACAAAAAAAATAACATTTTGGTTTAAAAAAACACCCAAAAATGCTGATTTGCCATGTTTTGCCACATTTACCAGCGTTACAGCATTTTTACAGCTAAAAAAGTCTCTAGAAACCCAATAGTTCTGGTGTTTTTTTCCTGCCAAAAATACCCTTGCAAAAAACATTGATTGAAGTCTGTGGGCAGCACAGTGGATAAATTAGCACTTCTGCCTGGCAGTACTAGGGTTGTTGGTTCGAATCCCAACCACGTCACCACCTGCCTGGAGTTTGCATGTTCTCCCTGTGCCTGCGTGGGTTTCCTCGGGGTGCTCCTGTTTCCTCCTACACTCCAAAGACATGCTGGTAGGTTAATTGGATCCTGTCTAAATTGGCCCTAGTATGTGTATGTGTGAATGTGAGTTAGGGACCTTAGATTGTACGCCCCTTGAGGGTTAGGGACTGATGTGAATGTACAATATATATGTGTAAAGTGCTGTGTAAATTGACAGCGCTATAAAAGTACCTAAAATAAATAAATAATGTATGCATGGATACATAGGATAACATGCTGGGGGGTTTACTGGCTGTAGAAAAAAAAGTCAAAAACAGCAGCTGTAAAAACGGCCATGAGGACTAAATGTGTTAGTGATCTGTGTAAATAGGTTCTTAAATTACAGGACACATGTTCATGAAGTTTATGATGAGGGTAGTTCAACCTTGGGGCCAGACATAAAAGATGTACGGAAAAATTTCTTCTCAGTAGAATGGCACGTGTGCATGGGCATTTGCTTCAGAGCAACAGGAGGCCAGAAGGAAGTCAAAAGAAGGTCAGAACAGCCTGGAACAGCTGTATGCAGTTTAGAATAAATGGTTCTTTAATATTAGACTTTGTTTGCACTGTACACAAGTGGTTCTAGTGCAGTGGTGGGCAACCTTTTTTTTCAACTGAGCCAAATCTCGCCAAAACCACGATTGAAATTTATTTTGAGAGCCACATTTTTAAAACTGAAAATACATAGGATGGTACACTGTTTTTAATTTCAATAAGTTTTTATAGTGATTCATCCCCCATAGTAATTCATCCCCCATATAGTAATTCATCCCCCATATAGTAATTCATCCCCCATATAGTAATTCATCCCCCATAGTAATTCATCCCCCATATAGTAATTCATCCCCCATAGTAATTCATCCCCCATATAGTAATTCATCCCCCATATAGTAATTCATCCCCCATATAGTAATTCATCCCCCACATAGTAATTCATCCCACATAGTAATTCATCCCCCATATAGTAATTCATCCCCCCTATAGTAATTCATCCCCCCTATAGTAATTCATCCCCCATATAGTAATTCATCCCCCCTATAGTAATTCATCCCCCATATAGTAATTCATCCCACATAGTAATTCATCCCCCATATAGTAATTCATCCCCCCTATAGTAATTCATCCCCCCTATAGTAATTCATCCCCCCTATAGTAATTCATCCCCCATAGTAATTCATCCCCCATATAGTAATTCATCCCCCATAGTAATTCATCCCCCATATAGTAATTCATCCCCCATATAGTAATTCATCCCCCATAGTAATTCATCCCCCATATAGTAATTCATCCCCCATATAGTAATTCATCCCCCATATAGTAATTCATCCCACATAGTAATTCATCCCCCCTATAGTAATTCATCCCCCCTATAGTAATTCATCCCCCATATAGTAATTCATCCCCCCTATAGTAATTCATCCCCCATAGTAATTCATCCCCCATATAGTAATTCATCCCCCATATAGTAATTCATCCCCCATATAGTAATTCATCCCACATAGTAATTCATCCCCCATATAGTAATTCATCCCCCATATAGTAATTCATCCCACATAGTAATTCATCCCCCCTATAGTAATTCATCCCCCCTATAGTAATTCATCCCCCATATAGTAATTCATCCCCCCTATAGTAATTCATCCCCCATAGTAATTCATCCCCCATATAGTAATTCATCCCCCATATAGTAATTCATCCCCCATATAGTAATTCATCCCACATAGTAATTCATCCCCCATATAGTAATTCATCCCCCCTATAGTAATTCATCCCCCATATAGTAATTCATCCCCCCTATAGTAATTCATCCCCCATAGTAATTCGTCCCCCCTATAGTAATTCATCCCCCATGGTAATTCATCCCCCATAGTAATTCATCCCCCATATAGTAATTCATCCCCCATAGTAATTCATCCCCCATATAGTAATTCATCCCCCATATAGTAATTCATCCCCCATAGTAATTCATCCCCCATTTAGTAATTCATCCCCCATATAGTAATTCATCCCCCCTATAGTAATTCATCCCCCCTATAGTAATTCATCCCCCCTATAGTAATTCATCCCCCCTATAGTAATTCATCCCCCATAGTAATTCATCCCCCCTATAGTAATTCATCCCCCATATAGTAATTCATCCCCCATATAGTAATTCATCCCCCATAGTAATTCATCCCCCATATAGTAATTCATCCCCCATAGTAATTCATCCCCCATAGTAATTCATCCCCCATATAGTAATTCACCCCCCATAGTAATTCATCCCCCATAGTAATTCATCCCCCCCTATAGTAATTCATCCCCCATATAGTAAGTCATCCCCCATATAGTAATTCATCCCCCATAGTAATTCATCCCCCCTATAGTAATTCATCCCCCCTATAGTAATTCATCCCCCATAGTAATTCATCCCCCATAGTAATTCATCCCCCATAGTAATTCATCCCCCCTATAGTAATTCATCCCCCCTATAGTAATTCATCCCCCATATAGTAGTAGTAAGTAAGTAGCAAGTAGTAAGCCAAGTCCCCCCTGTGTCAATTCACTTACCTTTGCTCCGCGCGTTCCTCTCGCCGTGTTCCCGCGCCGTTCCGGTCTTCAGGGCGGACTGTGAGAGGAGCCTAGCTCCTCTCACGTTCGTCACGCTGCCCCGCCTACACACATCCTGACAGCCAATCACTGGCTATCGGGATGTGAGTGGCAGCGAGACTGGCCAATCATTGCATTTGAGCGCGCTGCCCTGGCTGTTTTTTTTTTTTGGATCACGCTGCAGACTCCCTGCCGCCCGAGAGGAGGGAGGGGAGCGGGCGCCCAGCACACAAGAGCCGCATTAAAGAGTGTAAAGAGCCGCATGTGGCTCGCGAGCCGCGGCTTGCCGACCACTGTTCTAGTGTATCTATCCAGAGGGCTAAAAAACACTGATCTGCATAGCTTTAGCCATTCTTCTTAAATGAGGAATGATCCTCCTATTTTCAGAATGTGTGATGGAATCGGGTTACCTTATGAGCCCATGCACTGATTAAAGCGCAGGCCTTTTATTTTTACATAGTTAGTCTGGCTGAAAAAAGACCAGCCAGTTCAACCATTAACAAAAAAAAAGTTATAATCCTATACCCACAGTTTATTGTTTTAATCCTTACTCACACAACCTTTATGGTTATACTGTCTTGCCAATCACCATTCTTTCTTCTTTCTTTCCAAATGATCAACCCAGTTATATTAGTTTATCTCTAAAGTTTAAATAGTGTGATTCTAAATCTTTAACAATCAGATACAGACCTTAAACTATTTACCAGATGGTATTACACTCCATTACCAATTAATGTGATCTATCCTTAGGTTCCACTGCACTGTTTCCGTGGCTGCCCCCAACCTGGTTTATATGTACACATTTTTTGGGATTGTGAGAAGTTAGCCTCAGTGTGGCAAGAGCTCTTCAACTTAAAGGCTCAGTTAACTGGTAAACCGATCTTCCTGACTAGGGCTAATTGCCTGTTGTTTTCTCACCTTCAAGACCTCTCATGGCCATTGATACACACACTTTGTGTTGTTATGCATTGGGTTTTTGCATACCACTGAAAGTCTTTAGATATTTCCTTTTCTCAGGTTATTTCTAGAATGGATGCAATTATGTTGATGGAGAAAATATTTTATACTACAGGAGGCTCTAAATCTTGATTTGGTGCTAAATGGAATCCGTAGTTAGATATACTAAATACTTGTTCAATTATATTTCTTTATGCTACAACATTTTTACCTTTCAATGACACAAACACCCAATATACAGCACACACACAAATATATGCAAATACAGTTATATGTGTACAACTTACCTCAACTATCTCTAGGAGCTCCGTTTTGTCTATGCAGCCATTCCCATCTCTGTCATAAACCTTGAAAGTCCACTTCAATTTATGTTCAAGCTTTCCTCGTAAAACTAGATTTAGAGCTGCCACATATTCCAGAAAATCTATAGTATTATCCTGTAAATTACAAGCAAAGTAGAGTGTTTGCTTACTTTGATTATTGCTAGGTTAAAAAAAATTAGGAACAAGGTTATCATTTTATAGTGACAGTAGTGTTTCAGAAATAAATAATTGCGGCTTAAAAACCTTACCTCTCCTGGCCAGTCAATTGAGTTGAGTCATGGCACTTAACTATTTGTTCATAGTTGTGAACGTTAGTAGTTGTTAATTATTTTGCCAGGACATGCTAGTGAGGGCACCTTTGCAAGATAATTAATATATTGCACAGTACAAATCAGGCAAAAATTGCATACAATTACAGACATTCAATATTGCCCAGCTTTTTAATTCTCTGCTTACTCACCGCTTGTTAATACAGAGGTGGGTAAGAGGTTGAAACCTCTAATAGAAATATGTAATGAGGCCTTTAAGGCACCTATAGGCCTCATGCACACTTTTTTGCAGCCACTTTTAGGGGCATTGGGCGCTATTTTTACACCTTCCAAACACCCCTCCATGTTATCCTATGTGTCCATGATACATATTTCTTAGAAGTGGCAGGGGCTTTTAGGAGCTGTGAAAAAACCCCACTGCCAGTGCATCCAGGAGCAGAAGCGTTTTGGCATAAAAAAACGCTTGACACATGTAAACACACATAAATGCGCCTAAACGCATGTAATGCTAAATGCGTTCAGCGCTTGAGATTTAATTCATTTCAATGATCCAGGCGCAGAAGCGTTTTGGCAGAAAAAACGCTTGACACGTGTAAACACACGTAAATGCGCCTAAACGCGTGTAATGCTAAGTACGTTCAGCGCTTGAGATTTAATTCATTTCAATTATCGGAATAAATTATTATTCTGGCCAATGAAATGAAATAATGTTCAAGCACTTGACAACTATAAACGCGCCTAAATGCTTCTAAAAGCATTAGACACTTTTACAAGTGTCAGGCATTTTTTCTGGCAAAACGCTGCTGCCAAGAGGAGGAGCATTTTTAAAACATCCTGTCTGCATGAGGCCTTAGATATCAGATGGCAATTTCCTGGTCTAGATGTTTCATAGGGAACAGTTAAACATGAGAAAATGTGCCTGGATTCAGACTGCAGGATTGTTCCTGGAACCCACCGAAAAGTCAGAAAATTGCAAAACCTTAAACCACACCCTATTAAATTGTATGAAGAGCAAATATTGAAAATCAATTCTGGCCATTTTCATGGCAAATAAGCATGGGGTTTTCAAACAAAGGACATCAAAAACTATAGAAAATTGTACTATTAAAAGTAAAGTTCAAGCCCTCAACTTTGTACAAATTGACCAGTGTCACGCCAGTTTGATATTATAGTTTTGGGCTTCTTCTTCTTTTTTTTTCACAATACCACACTGCATTGTTGTTAAAGTTTAATAACATGTCAAAATTGCTCAAAAACACTCCAAGATCAAGATTGTATGCAAGTATTTGAATAAGTTGCAAACTGAAAGACCTCTGCAATGTGGGCCTTGTTTTACTCTATCTGCTGCTGACAGCACCATTGTGGTCTGCAGCCTTTGCCTGCAGTAAATCAGTCATGATAAAAGTACCAGCCATTTAAGTACCACATGCATGAGAAAACACATACTGTAACTATGCACCAAAAAAACATAGTGGGAGCAGTACCCTAATGATGTAACTGGGAAGTAACAGGCCGCACTTCTCTTACTTGTCCCTCACTTTTAGCCTCTCCCTTCTCTCTACAAGATTCTGCATCTGCTTCAACATCTAGATCCTTGTGCAATAGGGGGGTGAGGTTGGACAAGAGGTTTCAGAGTCTAACCTTATGATTTGTCAAGGAGGAAAGAGGATCAGAATGGGGCCACACAACAAGTAAGGCTAAACGTAGGCTTGAAAATCGCCATAAGTCTCCTAACCCCACTCTGTCATCTCCATCAACATGTTTGACCAGACAGGTGTTTTCTGAAGCTGCAGAAAAAATTGTCCTATGATCACTCCCATGTCCAACAACTCAGTGCCAGCCTGGCAAACTTGCTGGTATAATGGCTGCTCCTCAGTCCAGCTGGTGGATTCAGACCCCTTTCACTAATTTATGGCCTGTGCTACGTCACAGTGACAGGTACCCAGCCCCGATTTGGTTGTCCAGAAGGCCATGCCTGCCCTCCACAATCATGCAAAGTAATGTATTTGTGTCACTGGACCATGTGGTCAGCCTCATAGCCAACATGACTACAGATGTCTTTTAACAAAATGTATTTTTATATATATATATATATATATTTATATATATATATATATATATATACACACACACACACCTACTTTACAAATTTCAGCTGCTGCAGTAAACACTGTGTCTCAGTATATAAACCCAATATGCACTGCTATTTATACAAACTCTCCCAAATATCACACAGTAAAGCAAAAAATAAAATAACATTTCATATACAGTATGCGCTCAGTAAAAAGTGCTAATTGCTGTGTTTACATGTTGTATTATAATTATACAGGATATATATAGAGCCAACAGTTTGCTCAGCGCTTTACAATATAACGGGAGACAATACAGCAACAATACAGTTCAATACAAGAGGGAAAGGAGGGCCCTGTTCCTCAGAGCTTACAATATAGGATGCAACCACTACTCACAAATACATATCAATAAAGTGCACATTCCAAAAAAAATTCCATAAATAAAAGGTGCTTAGAAATTCATAAAACTTCTAATATTCTATAAAGCGTCCCAGTTCATTCAAAAGTGCTTTGTGTCCTTTTCCAAAGGACACACACTGCAAACACACAACTGCGCACACACAGACACACACACACGATACCCACACTGTACACATATACTGCATACACATACACTGCGCACACTATACATATATACTGCATGCGCACACACACACTGTACACATATACTGCATGCGCACACACACACTGTATACATATACTGCATACACACACACTGCGCACACACACACGATACCCACACTGTACACATATACTGCATACACATGCACTGCGCACACACACACTGTACACATATACTGCATGCGCACACACACACTGTACACATATACTGCATGCGCACACACACACTGTACACATATACTGCATACACACACACTGCGCACACACACGATACCCACACTGTACACATATACTGCATACACATGCACTGCGCACACACACACTGTACACATATACTGCATGCGCACACACACACTGTACACATATACTGCATACACACACACTGCGCACACACACGATACCCACACTGTACACATATACTGCATACACATGCACTGCGCACACACACACTGTACACATATACTGCATGCGCACACACACACACTGTACACATATACTGCATGCGCACACACACACTGTACACATATACTGCATACACACACACATGATACACACACTGTACAAACACACAGCGCACACATACGATACACACACTGTACACACACACACACTGAGCACACACAGTGTACACACACACAGTACACGCACTGTACAAACACACCACGCACACACACAATACACACACACTGTACACACACACACACATAAAACACACACTGTACACACACACACACACATAATAAACACACTGTACACACAAAACACACACACACTGAGCACACACACTGTACACACACACGGTACACACACATACATACACACACTATACACACACACTCCCCCATATGTCATAGCGGAGATATAACACAGCCACCAGTCCTGGACCAGTACAGGCGGAGAATTCTGTATTAGGGGGGGTGCTTTATCCAAGACTCAACAAGTACAAGAAAGACGGACAGAGAGAGAGAGAGAGGGGGGGGGAGAGAGGGGGGGGGGAGAGAGAGAGAGAGAGAGAATGAAAAGATAGAAAGAGAGAGAAAAAAAAAACAAGAAATAGGGAGAGAGAGATAAAAGGAAAAGAAAGAACAGAGAGAAAAAAGTGAGAGAGAAAAAAAAAAAGAGGGATAAAGTGTGTGAGAGAAGAATAAAAGATAGAATATATGGGAGAAAGGAGGAAGAAGAGAGAAACTAAGAAAAAGAGAGAGAAAGAAAGAAAAACAGAACAAGTGAGTGACAGAGAAAGGAAAGTGAAACAGTTGAGAGAAAGAAAAAGGGATAAAAAAAAAAGAGCGAGGAGAAGGAACGAAGGAGAGAGAAAAGGGGGCAAAGAGAGAATAAATAGTAGAGATGGAGAGAGAGAAGGAAAAGGTGCGAGGATAAGTAATGGAATAAAAAAGAAAGATGGATAGGATAGAGGGAGTGCTGTAAGTTCATGGGTTAGGGGGCACTAATTACTTGCCTTGCCCTGGGCACTGACAACCCACGCAAGGACACTGCATTGTATGTACTGGCACTACATTAATTCTCAAAATGTGTTGTGTATTGAGCTAAAATAATGAGAGTGAACTCCAGCATGGAAATACATTTTTCAAAATGCACAGCAAAATATTAGGCTGTGAGTGTATGGAGAAGATGAAGACATCCAGACGCCACAAATAGGAAACACTACAAGGTCATCATGAATTTAATGGAATACCACAAAAATGCACATGTTGAGGTTAAATATTTAATTGTTTATTTTGTGTTCATAATTTATATCTGAACATTTTGAGGAGATATATTCTGTAAATGCCATTATTCCAGTGTAAACCTTTCATAGAATACTAGTAAACTTCTGTACAAGTACAATGTTTTGCAGTGGCAAGCCAAGACTTCTTCCCACCACAAGAGGGCAGGTCTTACTGAGGCTTAAATGGTGAAAAAGTGCTGAACAGAATATCTCAGTTCTCTTTCCAAAGTGCTGAACAGAATATCTCAGTTCTCTTGAAATATGCACCTGAGGCACAGGCAATGCGTGAGACCACCTTTTTTTTTCAATAAAATTGAAAGCAAATAATTAAATACACAGCTCAAATGCATAAATGCAAAGAGT